CAAATCACCCAGTTCGTGGGAGATAGGGAGGGAAGGAAGGAACAAACGAACGAACTCTCAGTCTGGGGCAAGGGATGCTCTGTATTCTTGGTGCCTGGGTGGGGGGGGGGTCAACAGTGGGAGGCCTTCTGGTGTCCTGGCCCCACTGCTGGACCTCCTGATGGCACCTGGTATTTTTGGCCACTGTGTGACACAGAGTGTTGGGCTGGATGGGCCACTGGCCTGATACAACATTGACTTCTCTTATGTTCTTATAGGAACTCTTGGTCTGGGGCAAGGGATGCTCTGTATTCTTGGTGCTTGGGGGGGCAATAGTGGGAGGGTTTTTAATGTCCTGGCCCCACTGGTGGACCTCCTGATGGCCCCTGGTATTTCTGACCACTGTGTGACAGAATGTTGGACTGGAGGGGCCATTGGCCTGATACTATTAGCCACAAGGTACAGATAGGAACTCTCAGTCTGGGGCAAGGGATGCTCTGTATTCTTGGTGCTTGGGGTTGGGGGCAACAGTGGGAGGGCTTCTAGTGTCCTGGCCCCACTGCTGGACCTCCTGATGGCCCCTGGTATTTTTGGCCACTGTGTGACAGAGTGTTGGACTGGATGGGCCACTGGCCTGATCCAGCATTGGCTTCCCTTATGGAAGGAAGGAAGGAAGGAAGGACGGACGGAAGGAAGGAAGGAACCCTGTGTCCATAGAGGTCCGTCTAAAATTCCATGATACTTCTGGGCCCTCACTCTTGAGCTCTTGATCTTCTTGGGGTGTCACCATCAATGAGATGCCATCTGATTTCAGCCCAGTTCTTGCATCCTTAGTGTCGGGGAAGCACAATTTTTCTTCTGTGTAGACCATTCAGTAGTGTTAATGAGATCTTCTTCTTTTGCAGAATCTCCGCCCCCTCCTTATTCTCGGCTGTCTCCGAACGACGAACAAAAGCCGCTGGGTAAGTGTCGCCTCCGTATAGACTCTTCTCTGGGGTTGGCAGGGCAGAAACGAGACCGTCGTTCGTGTGCATGTGTGTGTCCGTGGGGTTTGTCGGTGCGCTGAATGTTCAGAACGAGAAAGGTGTGCCATGGCAGGTGCTGGAATGTGCTTTGCTCAGCTCAGAGGGGGATATTAGGGTGTTCAGGCATACCTACGTTGTGATGACACAGAATGCCAGTGGCAAAAGCCGTCGCTTGCTAGATGGTACGGTGGAAGCGCAGAAATCGACGTTGAGTGCGGACTGCTGTCACCGGCCCTTTCATGAAGCAAAGAGCTTGTTTTTAGCTAGAAGTGAGTTTCATCATTGACCTCCGAGCGCAAAGGCCGTGTCTCCACAAGTCCTGGTGGCAGTGAAGAGATGAGGCTGCCTTATACTGAATCAGACCATTGGTTCATCACAGTCAGTCTTTTCTACTTAGACTGGTGGCAGCTCTCAAGGGTCTTTGGCAGAGGTCTTTCCCATCACCTCCTGCCTGGTCGTTTCAACTGGAGATGCCGGGGATTGAACCTGGGACCTTCTGCATGCCAAGCAGAGGCTCTTCCACTGAGCCACAGCCCCTCCTTACAGCTCTCCAGGGTCTCAGGCTGAGGTCTTCCCATCACCTACCGCCTGGTCCTTTTGAACTGGAGATGCCGGGGACTGAAGCTGGGACCTCCTGCATGCCAAGCAGAGGCTCTGCCACTGAGCCACGGCCCCTCTTTACAGCTCTCCAGGGTCTCAGGCGGAGGTCTTTCCCATCACCTACCGCCTGGTCCTTTTAACTGGAGATGCCGGGGATTGAACCCGGGGCCTTCTGCATGCCAAGCAGGTGCTCTGCCACTGAGCGAGTGCTGAGGAGTTGAACAGCCGTGTCCTGCCATCCTCCCCGCTAGGAGATGCAAAATGAAAGTGAAACACCACCGATGCTTCTTTTCCAGACGTATGTCATTGAATGCACATCCCACGACGTGGGTTTTCAGCAAAAGCAGTCCTAAGGAGAATGATGCCCTTCCCAAGTCCATTGACTTCAGTGGGCTTAGGAGAGCATAGCTCTGTTTAGGATTGCATTCTTGGCTGTTCCCGCTACCCGATCCGGTGCCGTTGCTTGGCGTAAGGTTCAAGCATTCTCACATGCTCCGTTGTTGATAGCAGGGACACCTTTACCAGTTTGGCGTAGTGGTTAGGAGCGTGGATTCTGGAGCGTGGATTCCAATCTGGGAGGACGGGGTTTAATTCCTCACTCCTCCACTTGCAGCTGCTGGTGTGACCTTGGGTCAGTCACAAGTTCTCTCAGAGCTGTTCTCTCACGGGCAGTCCTCGAAAGAGCTCTCTCAGCCCCACTTACCCCACAGGCAATGTTCCCTCTAAGCTGTGGAGTCCTGTGAGCAAAAATTCTACTTTGTGAGCTACTGGCATTAAAGTTGTGAGCGAGCGATTTGGCTACTGTATGGATTAGTTTGCTCTGGAGCCCTCCTTCTTGAGCGAAGACAAAAATGTGTGAGCTGGAGGCTAAAAAACTGTGAGCTAGCTCACACTAACTCAGCTTAGAGGGAACACTGCCCACAGGATGTCTGTTGTGGGAAGAGGGAAGGAAAGGAGATTGTTTGGGAAGGAAAGGAGATTGTAAGACACCATGAGACTCCTTCAGGTAGTGCAGGGCAGGGGTATAAATCCAGTGTCTTCTCTCTTTTTCTTCTGCGGCCAGAAATTCAGGGAACGGTGAAAGTGGTTATCTGTGGTACCTGTTCAAATGTACCTTTGCCAGCGGAACGAAGATGGCAACCTCACTCAAAGCACTGTATTCCACTTCCCCTTTTCCTCTGCTCTTTTAAGGACTTCTGTTTGTTTTTTTAAAAAAAAAGAAGAATCAAAGGGAACCTGGTCAAAGAGACTGGGCATGAAGCTGTGACCTACTTAAAAACTGGCAGAACCCAACGGCGAGTCGCCTTCCAAAGTATATATTGTCGTTGAGGAGTTTAAACATCGTCCTTGGGGGATGTGGTACTGGCTCGCCGTTTGGCGGCTGTTCAGGTGGACGGGAATCCTGGGCAGACTTGCTGGGTCGAAGTTGGGCTGAGCTGACGGAGCTCTGAACTTTGGGTCACAGGCCCGCCTCCTCGCACAGGGTGAGGGAGAGTCGGATGGGAATGCAGCCGCGGCCGGACCGGAGAGGGGAGCGCCCCCTGGTCACCGTTCAGGTCAAAGGGCCCGATCCTTTGAGCTGGTTGCCAAGAGCGTCCCCGTAGGGAATTTAAAAGTGGAGCTGTTTCTGCGGCATCTCGGGAAGTTCTCTAAAGCGGTGATGGGAGGTATGGAGGAGAACTGTAGATCTGGCACAGAATCCTACAGTAGCCATTGCTTGGGCCCTTTCGAGGCAAATACCCTTGTCACAGTAGGAGCTTTACAGAAGCAAGAACAGACAATCTGTCTGAGGCCCGTAGCCAGGGTTTTGTGGCGTGAGGGGCAGATTTTCTTTCTGGTGGGGCTGAAGTTCTCAGTGCAGAAAGAAAAAGCCTTTTAGCCAATAGAAAGCTGTGACCAGGATAGAGCTCTACATTGCAAGCTGTCAGCCGCTATAGATGACAGTTCTCAGCTGCTGCAAGTTAATCACTTCTGCCAGCCTAAGCAACAACTCTGATAACAAGCCGGCAGGTGGGGGGTTATGACTTCTAGAGTCAAGAAAGCTAACACTCAGGCAGAAAAACTCTTTTAAAGGAGACCACTTTCTTGACCCAGAGTTAGAAGGGTATCCTAGAGGTCACCTACTCCAACCCCCTTGCTCCGTGCGGGGATTAGTCAACTAAGCACCCAGCTCTGCTTAAAGGAGTGCATGCCTTCTTAAAAAATGTTTTTAAATGATTGAAAATAGCATTTACAGGATAGATTCTTGTGGGGCTGTGCCTTAAAGAAAGGGGGAAGAGCCCCCCAAAGCCCCACTGTAGTACCTACAGGCCTGATCCGTCTCCATCTGTCCCTCCTGTAATCTGTTTTGGGACGGGACTCACCCCAAGGTGAATGTAGCCCCTGGAAATTGGCCCACACCGGCCCCTGATGTTGCTTGAGCCACAGAGCAGAGATCTGCTCGATTTGAGTCCAGTAACACCTTGGAGACTGAAAAGATTTCCAGGGTATGAGCTAGGAGCTATGACTCTTGAAAGCTCCTGCCCCGAAAATCTTCTTGGTTTCTAAGGTTCTGCTGGGTTCGAATCTAGCCGTTCCACTGCAGACCGACACGGCTCCCCTCTGAAACCTAAAAAAATTTCCAGATTAAGATAACTCAGAACAGCAGATTTCAGATCTGTTTTCAACAGAGGGATGGAGATTTTACTGTCTAAAGCCCATACCCCAAAAATTTTGTTGGGTCTCTAAGGTGGTACCGGGTTCGAATCTAGGTGTTCTACTGCCGACCAACGCGGCTGTTCTCTGTAACTCGCATAAATCTGGGCTCCCTGGTTGCCTTCAGTTCCTTCCTTGCAATTTTCTGGACAGCGAACGGAATAGAACTTTGCCTTTCTGGCTGGTGTGATCGCAGGACAGACGACACACCACACATTCCGAGCGAAGGTTGAGAACACCATTTTAATTAAAGGGGCCCAAAGTGCAGGGCGGTGGGGAGAGAAGACCAACAAAGGACTTTTAACTTGTTAAAACAAAGTTTCTCTTAGTTTCAGCAGGGGAGGGAGGGAGGAAGGAAGGAAGGAAACAAGAATAAACAGCTTCAAGAATTTTAATAGCGATAATTAAGTATAGTAACGACGAATTGTTTGGAGGCTTAATGTAACCTTATCCCCAGAGCGCCAAGTTCCTACTTGTTTCATTCCCTCAACCTTGGTTGTTTTTTGAGGCGCTGCGAACTGCTGGCTTCGGGACGTCAGGAAAGCGAAGGGGGGTGTCGATTTGGGGTCTGGCGTTCACACGAGTGGAGGAGAGAAGAGTTCATTGGCTTCCACTGAGGCCGTTCAAGCGGACGTGCCCTTTGCCAGCGAGGCGTGCCTTTACTCTGCCCGCTTCTCCAGGAGGGCAGTGCCCGTCTCTCAGAGGTGGATCCCGCTCTCCTCTTCTGGGACGGAAGCGAGCCTCGGTCTGGCTGATAAATTGGGAAGTTCTGCCCGCTTAGGTAGAACGTCCGTAAGGACAACCGTTTGGGAGGAGAGTCGTCCTGAAGGTGGCCTCCCCCTGCCTTCTCCCCTTGCATTATCTGAGGGTCCTCTTCCATTGCCTGAGAGAACCCAGTCAGTTTCTTGCTAATCTGAAGGGGCTTTGAGTGGAAGGGTCCACGGGATGAGTGGGGGGGGGGTAGAAGACCAGTCAGCTATGAATCTGACCCAACACACTGGAGTTTGTCGTAGTGCAATAATGCACAATGCTGTGCAGTGGCAGTGAAGGATTGTGTCCAGGGTTCCCTCTAAGCTGAGTGAGTGGGAGCTAGCTCACAGTCTTTTAGCCTCCGGCTCACACATCTTTGTCTGAGCTCAGGAAGGAGGGCTCCAGAGCAAACTAATTGATGCAGTAGCCAAATCGCTCGCTCACAACTTTGTAAGTTAGTAAGCCGCTCTAAGACTCCTTCGGGTAGTGAAGGGTAGGGTATAAATCCAATCTCCTCCTCCTGCTCTTCTTCTTCTTCTTCTTCTTCTTCTTCTTCTTCTTCTTCTTCTTCTTCTTCTTCTTCTTCTTCTTCTTCTTCTTCTTCTTCTTCTTCTTCTTCTTCTTCTCCTTCTCCTTCTCCTTCTTCTTCTTCCTCTTCTTACTACAAATCTTTCCTGTTCAGTTCTAGGTTCTTGTCTGACTGACCTTGAATGACATTTTATATCAAATCCACATGAACTTTGTATGTGTGTTCTATTTCTCCTTCTTCTTCTTCTTCTTCTTCTTCTTCTTCTTCTTCTTCTTCTTCTTCTTCTTCTTCTCCTTCTCCTTCTCCTTCTCCTTCTCCTTCTCCTTCTCCTTCCTTCTTTCTTCTTCTTCTTCTTCTTCTTTCTTCTTCTTCTTCTTCTTTCTTCTTCTTCTTCTTTCTTCTTCTTTCTTCTTCTTCTTCTTTCTTCTTCTTCTTTCTTCTTCTTTCTTCTTTGTTCTTCTTTGTTCTTCTTCTTTCTTCTTCTTTCTTCTTCTTTCTTCTTCTTCACTGGATTACTGTAACGCAGAGCTCAAGGGCTGTAATGCCGTCATGGGCCTCCAGTGGACGCCTGGGCCCGATTCAGAGAGGTGTGTTCGACTGTTGAATGCGCTGGGTTTTCAGGGTACATTACGGATCTCCTTCTCCCATATGAACCCGCCGGAGGCTGAGCTCTTCCTTGGAAGCTCTGTTGTCTGTGACCCTCCACTCCCCCCATTCGGAGGATGGGATGCCAGCTTTCGGTTGGGAAATACCTTGAGATTTTGGGTTTGGAGCCTGGGGTGTGCAGGGTTTGGAGATGGGGAGGACCTCATTGGGGTTAATGCCATAGAACCCATCCTCCAAAGCAGCTGTTTTCTCCAGGGGAATGGCTCTCTGTCGTTTCAGGAGATCCCCAGGCCCCACCTGGAGGCTGGCATCCCTAAGGAGAGGTCCCCATCCTTTCTTGGTGCCTGTGGGCACCTTTGGAATTCTGAGACGGAGCGGTGGGCCCAAGCACAAAGTGGCTGCCGCAGGAGGTGGCGCCAACCACAAAACGTTGGGGGGCGAGGTTAGACGTCTCTCCAGTAGCACACCTCTCCAACATCTCAGGCAGGAGCTCCGTTTTAACAGGATGCCTCTTAATACACAGAGCCAATCAGGAGCTGTGGTGGGCCACAGCCTCACTAAGCCCCGCCCCCTCCTTCTAAAAGCATTTGGCGGATGCCAAGAAAGGTGCCGGCAGATTGCCCTGGCGCCCGCGGGCACCGTGTTGGGGAACCCTGAAGCAGTGGGAGCCCACGGAGGGTGGTTGCTTGCCCTCCATAGAAGGCAATGCACAAGTTGACCCAGATAAGAATAAAGCAGGAGTTCAGAGTGATTTAACAACTTCCTTGAGCGTATCCTGTTTGTGTGAACGTGTCTTTGCTCTCTGGGTGGGCAGCAGCTCACGCGCAACACTCTTGAGCGAAATGGTGCTCCTCGTATCATGTAATAATGGTCTGTCTTTCTCTTCTTTTCCCCAGATCTTTCCGACTCCACGTTGTCCTACACTGAAACGGAGGCTACAAACTCCCCCTGCGTCACACCCGGAGAATTCTCAGGTTGGCAGACTTTCTAATTCCTTGATTCCGAGCGACCCTTTTGACGGCAGTTTTTAGCAAGCCGGTTTTAGGAAATAAACGGCTTAAAGCGTCGATCTTGAAAGTGGAAACCGAGAGGTGACGATCGTCCCGGCGAGGAGTTTGCAGCCTCGAAAGTGAGACCAGCGGTTTGGTTTGACGGCCTTGCTTGTCGGGGATCTCTTGAGCATTCGTCTTGCGCCATCTTACCAGCTTGCGCAATGGCCACTGTTGGGTCGGCATCTCTGCTCTGTTCGAAGTGGGGTGTTCCCTTTTGCAATAGTCTCTCCCGTTCTGCAGGGCTTGGATTTGCCCGAGGGAACTTCTGACGATCAAGTTCTCACACTCCGCTTGTGGTTTGTTGTGGAACCGAGTGTCTGGAAAGGCGCAGCTCATTTTAATCCATCCTGGCTGCTTTTCTCTGTGTGTGTGTGTGTGTAAATGCACAACGTTTTGCACACACTGCTAATTTTTAGTCTCCTACCCGCCGTCCACTCTGGTGCGATAAGGGTGCAGTTTGTTAAGGCCAGAATTAGGCTTGGAGGCGCCTTCGTTGTCTTCCCGATGCCAGAAAGTCCAATTGAAATATGTTGTTGTTGGCAGAGCAGAGGAACAACTGGTAAGAAAGACGGCCTCGACGGGATTTTCTGTCGTGCTGTAACAGTTCTGAAGATGAGAGTTGGCAACCGGGGTCAGGCTTGGTCCATTCACCGTGGACCAGGGGTCGTTTCGTAGAAAAAGAGGTGCAGGAGCTCATTAGCATAACTCATTAGCATAACTTATTTGCATAGGCCACACCCCCTGACATCACCGGAAGTGTGTCAGAAGGCAACACCCACCACTCAGGCTCCAGTGGACTGTTTTGGATTGCTAGGTATTGGGGGGGGGGGGGACACATGCAGATCTGTCCTCACAGAGGAGGGAGAGCTTGTACCTGAATAAAATTTAGTCTTAAAGGTGCCACTGGACTGTTTTGGATTGCTAGCTATGGGGGGGGGGGGAACGTGCAGATCTGCCCTCACAGAGGAGGGAGGGCTTGTACCTGAAGGTGGGCCGGGGGGGGGCTCTGCAACTTACCTGGCTGCTTCTTGCTCCTCGTGGCCCAACTGAGGGCTGCTGGGAGCAGGGGGCGGGGCTTGTTGCGTGTGCCCACCCCCTGGGCTCCTTACTGCCGGAGCTCCGCTCCTGTGCGCTCCCGCAGGAAATGACCCTTGCCGTGGACCCTTCTGACTGCTTTAGTTGGTGCTGTCTAATACCCAATTGAGGTGGGTGGGAGAAGAGTTAGCTATGCTTACATCGCTGTGTTCTGGTTAGGTGTGGTACGTTATCTTGAACATGGGAGAGAGTTTCAGTAGTTGGCAGCTTACCGCTCTTGGGCCAAATCGGGGCATTCTTGATCTTGCTGGTATCCTGTGCCTGTTCAGGTGGACTGTTAAGACCCTTTCTAGTAGAGTGGAAGAGCTGGAAGCTGGAGAGGGAACCTGCTACAGAATTCCTCATGTGGCTTCCAAGTTACCTAGAAAGAGTGCAGAAATCGACAACTGTCTTTGGTGTAGTGGTTAAGTGCGAAGACTCTAATCTGGGAGAACCCGGGTTTGATTCCCCACTCCTCCACTTGCAGCTGCTGGATGACCTTGGGCAAGCCATAGTTCTGTCAGAGCTGTCCTTGAAAGAGCAGTTTCTGTCAGAGCACTCTCAGCCCCACCGACCTCACAGAGTGTCTGTTGTGGGGAGGGGAAGGGAAAGGAGTATGTAAGCCACTCTGAGACTCCAAGTGAAGGGTGGGGTATAAATCCACTCTCTTCTTCCTCTTCTTCTACTTTTGCTTAGGGTAGACCTCATGCTAACCCCGAGGAACGGGGAGGAAGTTGTAGAAATTTGATTCTGGCATGTAGGAATTTGATATATTTTTCTGGCCCCACTTCCTGGGAAGGAGCGCGGGTTGTCGGGCTGGGGCCTGGCTCGTTTTGTCTTCTGACTCAGACGTGGAGTTTCAGTAAATTTAGTTTCTGACAGTGAAAAGGCAGAAATGTGATTTTTAGCAGAGAAACGTTGTGCTCTCAGCGCTGAAATAACGTCTGGACCCGGGGCTGATTCTCTCTCTTTCTCTGAGTCTCTTGTCCTTTCTCTTATAGAGAGGAAAATACAATAGCTGTCCCCGGTAAAAGCAAAGGGGCGGGCGGGCGGATTAGGTTCTTTGGTATCGGCGCTCTTGCCGAGCAGACTGGAGCAGGAGGGGGTTTAGACTTTTTCCTCGAACAAAATAACTATCACTTTGTGACCAAGATTGCAGTGAAACTGGATATTCCCATCTCCTACTGTGGAATTTGAAGTGGCGCAACCTCTTCATAAGAGTGTAATGCCGGTTATTTATCTTTCCCCAGCGGGCTGGGATTGCATATATAGGATAAAACGACTCGCTGTAGTTAACCCCCAGCTCTCCAAACTGGAGTTGCCTTGGTGGTGTTGAATTCTTCGGGGCAATCGAGGAGAGATTTCCAGGGACTTGTGTGCCTTTGCAAATGGCGTGCGAGACTCATTCTTGTTACCGGGGCTGTAAATAAATCCTGGGGACACGATCCCGCTGGATCCTCTGCTGTACAGTGAGGACTTTCCGCTGGGAAGTTGTCCATCACAAGCGTTGAACTGTAGAAATTTCACTCGAGAGCTGTACTCCCTTGAGCCAGTTTGGTGTAGTGGCTAAGTGCGCGGACTCTAATCTGGGAGAACTGGGTTTGATTCCCCACTCCTCCACTCGCACCTGCTGATGTGACCTTGGGTCAGGCACAAGCTCTGGCACAGCTGTCCTTGGAAAAGAGCCGTTTGTGTCAGAGCTCTCTCAGCCCCACCCACCTCACAGGGTGTCTGTTGTGGGGAGGGGAAGGGAAAGGAGTTTGTGAGCCGCTCTGAGACTCCAAGTGAAGGGCGGGGTATAAATCCAATCTCTTCCTCCTCCTCCTCCTCTTTGAGTGACTGAGGTAGGGAGCCACTGGCCGCCTGCTCTTCAGCACCACCACCGACGATGGTTAGAGAGCAGTACTGCAGTTAGCAGCTCAACAGGGACCAGGTGATGCTAGGAACCAATACAGCTTCCTCTGGCCCTGGCTACTTTTTTATTTGTAAAGTGCCATGCACGTGGGTGGCAGGATATAGACTATGATAGGGGTCCACAACATAGTGTCTTTCCTGGCATCTGCCAAATGTTTTTACGACGTGGGCGGGGCCAGGTGGCACCTTGCCCAACAAGGCTTCTGATGGAACAAAGTCAGAGTCCAGTGGCACCTTTAAGGCTAACAAAATCTTATTCGAGGTGTGAGCTTTTGTGTGCACGCACACTTCGTCAGATACAATGAAATGGAATTATAGACCATATTTGTATATATAGAAGCAGGTGTGACCAAACTTGCTTAACGTAAGAGCCACACAGAATAAACGTCAGATGTTTGAGAGCCACAAGGCATGAACAAATATTACAGTCATGTTTTTATTGAAAAAGACGCAAACTTGCTTTTTATTGACATTAAATGAGACTGCGAAAAATAAAGACAAATGGGGTAAAAACAGATATTGATAATGCTATTTATTTGTTCAATGATGGCCCCGGTCACATGGGCCAGATAACGCGGGTGTGTGTGGCTGTTCGCCCCGGAGCAAAGTAAAGCACGGTAGCCCGATCACACGGTCCCTTGAGTCTCCGTGCTTCGGCTGTTAGCTGGCGATCACACGGCGATGCTGCAGTGTGGCAAAGAAGCGGCACAGCGTGATCACACAAGCATTCCGCGTTCGTGTGCATGCGCAATTCTGCAGAGCAGCACTGCTTTCAGTTTCATGTTTGTGCGCATGCGCTTACGGAAAACATCCGGTTTGCAATGGGACATGGACGGGCGCCGGATGCCACGGGATACTAGTGCTCCCGTGATCAGACGTCTACCTGTGCTGCACGTTTTCCGGATACTAGTGCACTTTCCTTGGCACTTTTAAACTCCGCATCCTCGGCAGGACACCGCGGTTTGGCCACGGGTGCGCTACGCTTCCCAGATGTTGCGGTGTGATCGCGCCCCAAAAATCCGCCCAACATTCGTGCCTTTCGCGCAGCAAATTCTCCATGTGACCGGGGCCGATATTTATTTATTTGCTAATGATATTTATGTGTCTTAAGAGAGAGAGAGAGGTGGAAAGAAAGAATGAAAGAGGTGGAAAGAAAGAGAGAGAAAAAAAGAGTGAGAAACAAAGAAAGCAAATAGATAGGGAAGGGATGAAGGAAGAGAGACAGAGAGAGAGAGAGAGAGAGAGAGAGAGAGAGAGAGAGAGAGAGAACACGCAAATAGATGGGGAGCCTCCCTGGAGCCGCACAATATGTGTGAAAGAGCCGCACCACACTTTAGCCACCCCAATATAAAGGATGGCTTGTTAAATTAGCATGCAAAATAGTGCAGAAGTTGTTTAACAGATAAAAAGAATGACAAGCTTGGTTTTTGGTTATCATATGTTTGGGTTCAACTGGGGGGGAAAGAGCAACACAGGAAATAAATATGTCAGAACTGGCGATTGATGCACCCTAAATTGTGAGAATTCCTCTGATGGGCCACGTGAGATTTGATTGGCTGTGCGGATTTTTTAAAACCTTGGCAGCTGCCACCACAGCCCAGGGATCTTCACCACGTGGCTGAAGCTGACCAGCGGCAGCCATTTTCCGGCTGTGCCCACCATATTGTCTCAGAATTCTAACGGTGCCCACGGATTCCAAAAGGTTGGGGACCCCCCCGGATTATAAGAGGACAGGTCCCTGCTGTGAAAGGGAGAAAACACCAGAAGGGAGGTGGAGGCTAAGGAGAAGCAGGTGGGCTAAGAAATATATCTGGGAGAAGGAACTTTCGGGGACATTGGCAGGACCGTTCTATCAAGCCGGAGCGGCCAGTGTGGTGGCTAGGGTTGCCAGCTCCAGGTTGGGAGCAATGCTCCCTCTAAGCTGTGGAGTCTTG